CCCCAAAACCCCAAAACCCCAATATTGAAAAGAAAATTAGCGTCAGATAGATATTAAAGGAAATTAATTTTAAGTAATATTTTAAGTGTATTAGATTAATTACCATAATATTCAACTATATCTTTTACCAGTTGCAACCATATGCTTAGCCTTCTGCTCTTCTTTAAGTTTTTTTACTGTTTTAACATAATTTTAAAAGAATGGAATTCCTAGGCATGCTTTGATTAGATGCAATATAAGTGCCTCAATTTTAGAGTCTAATGGCCTAGTCTTTAGGTTACCTTTGATTTGGATAGTTTAGGTATCTTCATCCACATCATCTATGTAATGTGGAATATAAATTCTATCAGCGATTCTGCCAAGAGCCTCAATAAACTCAACCAAGACCATATTCTGGACTCTGTCACTATCTATTTCATCCTTTTGCGTCATCATAGACAAACTATAGACTGGACTGATTTCCCTTTCTCCGAACGTTTCACAAATTACACCGCTCTCTTGGATCAGTTGACTGAACTCATCCATAGACATAAATCTTGGAGCACCTGGCATGGCATACTTACCTGAGTACTTAGTATACAGGGCCTGTACACCTTTCATATTTCTTCTAAAGGAAAGATCGCATTCTTCATTCCACAGCTTTCCTCCTCTAAATATGTGTGAGTCATACTTTTTGAAGTGAAAATCTAGGAAATCATTGAATAGCTTGTAGACTGCTTCGTAAAAGTTGCTAGAAATGCCTGATTTTATGAATTTAGTGCTAGCCAGTCTGACGAATACCTCCATGAATTAATATCTGATAAGCTGCCTCTCTGGATTTCTGGGGTTTTATTTCTTAGGACCTGATTTAGTAGCCACAAACTCGAGATCTAAATCTGACAGTTTCAAAGTCTTGGAGTCAATTAGATCAGGACAAGAAGAAACTATTTCAGTGAATACATTTGTGCCTATGCAGCAAACATTACCAACAGGGTCCACTCCTGAGTAATATTTATAAGCATCTCTCCTATAAAAACATTAAGAATTGTAATAACAGTACAATAGTTTGTATCTTGTCCTGAGGAACTCTTTAGTCTTCTATTAGTCTGTTAGGTCTTTGATGATTTTCTCAAGTTTGGTGCAAGACCAATCATGTTCAAAGCAATTCATTAATAGAGTGGTATTATCTGGTTTATAGTCTCTGAATACGGACTTAAAGAAGTCCCAAGGGGTCCTAAGCTTATCCCTCTATACAAGAGACTTAGCTGGCCTGGGTTTGCCAATCATATGGTCAAGCTCTGAGTTAGAGATCACTGATCTCTTTTAGGCTATATGCTCTATAATGTTTGAAACTGGTACATCTATTTCTATAAAATCTGGGTCTAGTTTCCTTATAAGCTCGTTTATTTTTTCTTATTCAGTGCCATTTGCTCTATTAGGAGAAGTTTTCTAAGTCTAGTTAACAATTTTATTATCCCCTCTACTGAAGTAGTACCTTTGCACGCCTGGAGGAATCCATCTGATAGAAATGTAGTTGCCAGGCTCCTCGGGATCAGGAATCATCAAGTCTTGTTCAAATCTATCACACTCCAAATGCAGATAAATTGGATGAAATCTATCGTGAGTAGGGTTATCATCGCTGACGCCTGGTTTGAATTCAAACTTTACTTCAGACCACCCTTCGCAGATCCAGCAGTTAGAACATGCTTTAAGTTCCAACAGTCTTTTATTATATACATTGCCTGCATCCAAAGAGGGTCTAATTCTAGTGTAGACATGACTCTTGGCAACTTCATCCTTTTAGTTCTTGTTGACTTTTACAAAGCCTTGTGTGTCAGTTTCACCCTCATTACCTATCATGTGAATACCAAGAATAGTGTGATTGTTTTTCAATCCAGAAGCCATTATTTCAAGTTCTTAGCCGTTAAATCTGTTATGAGATATATCTACGTGCAAAAGTGTATTGTTGTTTTCGAAACATTCTTTCCAAATTTTGGCATTCAGTTCAATTTGGACAGGATTTTCAAATTGATTTGACACACTATTGATGCCACTTCCTAAGTTATTGAATGAAAGATCAAGAATCTGCAATGTCTTATGATTCTAAATAACTTTAGCTAATGCCTAGCCACCCTTAGCTAGAATCCTATTCCAATGAAGAAACAAAACATTGACCGAAGTATTATAGTACAGCATCTTACAGATGAACTCAGCGCCCTAATTTGTAATTTCATTTTAACTGAAATTCAGAAATGAAATTTTATTATTGTCAGCTATTATTTTACACAGCGTTTCTAGATTATAGTCACCCATTTTATTGCCCTCTAATATCAATTTTTAAAGTACAGCCTTAGGATGATCTAAGTAGTCAGCTAGTTCATTATAAAACTCCTTAGTAATCATTGGATTGAAAGAAAGATCAAGTGATCTTATCCTCTACCTATTGATACTCTGGATGAGTCTTACTGCTCTGTTCGTAGTCAAGCCAATGTTTCTAAAGTTTATCTCCTCTATCATATCAGACACATTTATTCCCTTTGTAAATGCATCCATATACGCATCTCTCACGTAAAAAGACTTTATATTTACCTCCTTTACATTATCTCTACGATGTACTAAACCCATTCCACGAGGAAGCATACTCTAAGACTCCACATGATTTAGATACTTGACCAAAGGATCCTTGAGCTTCCTACCTTTTATTTATGATTTTTATATGATTTTGTTACTTCCAAAGTATTTCTATCTATAGTTTCTTAGTGCTGCTTTTCCATGCAAGGCCTCGTCTTAGTACTCTCTTTCAGAGCTTACATCAGAGGGAGTTGAGCTTAAATAGATTTCTTTTACTGTACTCTTGGATGTTCTTGAGAGCGGTTTCGATGTCAGCTCACTCTGATGATTTTCCCTCTCGTCTTCTTTGATAATGTAATGCTTTATATTATTTGCTGTCATGTGTACTTGATGTTCTTACAGTTCGCCTGATCTGGTTTTGATTAGGGTTTTCTTAGAATTTTTGGGTTCATGCGTTTAGTGCTGATATTTATTTCTCATATTGCCATTGCTGATTGTTTGAATTTGAAAAGATAAATCCCTTGGCATGTCAACAATAACATCCTCACTAACAGTCATCTTATTATCAGATTTACTAGTACTACCCTGTTTATTTAACTTCTTTTGAATTTCTAATTAGATCTATTCATGCTTTGTTGATTCTTTTCTCCGAAATGGACTGAATTTCCTTTGATCCTTTTAGTCCTCAGATTCTAGAATGCTCTGAGAAAATTGCTGTTTCACTGCCATCTCTCTCAGTGGAGTCATGTTATTTTCAATAATACCTCCTTTTCCAATTGATGGGAAAAAGGATCCACGATTAGGAGACTTCCCTGGAGAGGATTATCTCGAGTCCTCATTCTAATGATTATTGCCATTAGGGTTTTACTTCTGCTTTGAAGTCTGATAGATCAATTATGCTCTCATCATTGGGGACAGTTCAAGTGAGTTATTAGCATCTCTTTAATGCATCTTCAGTTGAAATTACTAGGATTGCTATTATTATTGCTGTCTAAATTGCGAAGCCGTATCTCCCAGAGACATGTACTTTGAATGCAAAGTTTTCTATTTATTAGATTGAAAGCTAGAATTCAAATACTTAGAACTTCTAGGCTAAAAATTAGGATTCTTCAAAGAGATAGAGTTCACTCTTTCTTCCTATGCATGAATTGAACGATTCACTTATTCATTCTATTTGCTCAAGATCTTTTACTTTTCTTGCTTCAGCTTCTAAATACTCTAATCATTCAAAGATCTATTTCTCCCAAATTTAGAAGTTTATGTCTGAAGCGCTATGTCACATATATTATAGCCTGAATTCTGAGGCCTTCCAAACTTCGGAAGATCTAGTATCACATTCATTTTAATTTTATTATTGCTCGCTTAAATTACCTTTCACCTATACTTTAATCTAATCTACTTATTCCTCACGGGGTTTTGGGGTTTTGGGGTTTTGGGG